AATTGGTATTCCTTTCAATCCATGATTGTTGAAATTTCTGTCTGAAGTCATTCAATCTTTCCGCCGTTTCAGTTAGTTACCTAACTGAAGGCTACGTATAAAATATAAATATTTTTCTAATAAGCTTGCATGAGTTTAGCGCAGTTAAATGGGATTCAAATTTAAATGCAGAGAGGCAAGGGAGACGAAACTGTTACTTGTATGCAAAGTATAATTTCAAAAGCATCATGATCATTTCGTAAATGTTATATACTTAACCAGAAAACGTCGGCTTACCTTTGTTAGTTATTTCTGACAATTCCAACAAAACATCAATGTTTTCCATCTCATTCCGGTCCGCACATAAACTAACAGATACGGCCCTACAACACAATAATGTTATCATCAATTAGTAAGAAATGACAGAGGAAGCTAGGAGCTATATCGCAAGGAAGTGCCGCATCAAATTTGACACTCTTAATATACAGGGTGTATAAAAAAAACTGAACAGATTTTAAATTGGTCTCAATTTCGCAAAACACCTATTTGTATCCGTTTTTTTATATATAGAGCTTCTTTGGGTACTTATAACGTAGAATAATGAAAAAAATTTCTCAAACTCAAATTTTGTGAACCAGGGGGGGGGGGTGTCTTTTCCAACAAACTAAAAATGGCTCGCGCACAAAATTTAAAAGTTGTAATCATATTTTGAGTTAACAGGTGGAAACTTTGTTGAGATTTTAATTACTGTACAAAATTTCAGACAATTTGGTTTAGTTTGGTTTAGTTAAAGGTAACTATTCATTTTATTCTAAAAAATCAGCCTTTCGCATGCTTAATTAATGCCTTTACCTAATTTGCATATTGTTAACATATGCAAATTAGGCAAAGGCATTAATTAAGCATGCAAATAGCTGATTTTTAGGAAAAATGTAACTTTGCGCAAATAGTTAAAGGGCTTAAACTAAACCAAATTGTCTGAAATTTTGTACAGTAATTGAAAACCCGACAAATGTTCCATCTATTAACTCAAAATATGAATACAACTTTTAAATTTTGTGCGCGAGCCATTTTTAGTTTGTTGTAAAAGACACCCCCCCCCCCTGGTTCACAAATTTTGAGTTCAAGAAATTTTTTTCATTATTCTACTTTATAAGTACCCAAAGAAGCTATATATATAAAAAACGGATACAAATAGGTGTTTTGCGAAATTGAGAGCAATTTCAAATCTGTTCAGTTTTTTTTTATACACCCTGTAGACATATGAAAACGTCTATGAACAATTTGACCTATTTCGTGTTGTTTAAGGCACCCGTGAAGGAGCAGTGCTCTTCACTGGAATAAAAACGAATCTTTGAAAAATACATAAAGAGATTGACATGTGAACATATTGCTCTTGAAAGGAAACAATTTAGCCCAGAGAAATAAGGTAAGACATAATACACGTCCACCATAAAATTTCTGGCTATTTCTCCGAGCAGTGGGCATCCGTTTATACGTTCGCTAATTGAAATTTGCGCGAGCTATAAGGCAAGACATGGAGACAAACATCCAAAACGACCGACACTACGGGCTACGCCAAAACGACGGTGCGACAATTACTGTGAACGGCGCGAAGACGAGCTTCCGACCAGTAGGTAAAACTTTATTTGACTACCCTAACCCCTATAAAAGTATTGTTAATCACTAACTTTCGATCGATACAAGTGTGTACGTATTTTGATATAACCTAATATCTAAGTTCGTTCTTGTTTATATAGTAATCCATTACCCGGATGTGTCCATAATTAATACCTAATTACTCTATAATTTATAACATAAATTATGCCTATAATAATATTACATCTCTTCCCTAAAGTATGATTACATATATTTATCGAAATTACCTACTAAGTTTAGTATTTTTTTTTTCTTGTTTTGGTCCTTCGTGTCCGAAAGTTTATACAGTCTTATAAATTCAATCTAGTTGGCTTCTTTATAATACGGCCACTTCTGGTTGTCACAGGGTGATCATCACCTGATATGTCTGTTTCTGGTTTTCTGCTTTTGTTTGCTGTTTCCAGGTTAGGTTCACTGGTACGAATCTTTTCTTGTAAACTAGAACTTGAACAGTCTTGCCCGCTCGTCATATGGTCTATTTCTGGTTGTCTGCCGTCCTCGATTACAGGTTTTAGGTGTATCCTGTTACGTCGAACTTCGCCGCCGTTGGGTGTTTCAACCACATACGATCTTGGCTTGTTTGATTCTTGAATGACCTTTCCTGGAGTCCACGTTTTCTTTCGAGGCTGGAATACCACCACTTTCTGCTCTGGTAGCAGCTTAGACAACACACGTGGAGAGTTCACATCATGCTGACGTTTCTGAACATCTTGACGCAGCTGAAGCTGTTCTTGATTTGCTGGCGTTGTTTGGCATCGTTGTAGCCTTCCGCTACAAGGTAATAATGTCCGATATTCTCGTTGATTTAGTAGCTTGGCTGGTGACGGTAAATTGTTAATCACTAACTTTCGATCGATACAAGTGTGTACGTATTTTGATATAACCTAATATCTAAGTTCGTTCTTGTTTATATAGTAATCCATTACCCGGATGTGTCCATAATTAATACCTAATTACTCTATAATTTATAACAAAAATTATGCCTATAATAATATTACAACCCCTACAGCGAAAGCTGATTTCCAATGGCGGCGTACATTTAGATAGTTAAAAATTAAACTAGAAATACATGCATGCAGCAACCCCTCCCCTATATTTTCCAAACATTGACTTACATGAAGTACCATATTAGTAATTGATCAACACTGAACGCAGGCTCGCGTTTACGTCAGTGTTGTCATGGCAAAACTGTCATCTTAAATTTTATATTTTTTTGAACAACACCCCAAAAATAGTTGAAAGATTATTGCTTTTAACTATATAACAATGAATTACCGAATTATGTACTGTATAGGTACAGTATGTTATTTTGCATTTTGTGAGTTTTGCTTTAATGTAAAATTTAAATTGAATCGCTTCGTAAAATGTTTTGAAATGTTCATTTTAATAACTAAACTGCTTTTGTCGTCTTTGCCGATGAACTGTTTTTAATACTTAATAAGTTCAAATTGTGAAGTAATTTCAGTTTAGGTCTTCAAATTAATTTGCTTTCCTTTACATTTTACCTTTTTTTCTTAAATTAACAGGGTAATTTAGGAAACTTACAGCTTGACTGAAAAGGAAAGCTGCATGTACTTTTAATACGCAAGAAATTATTAAAAGCAACCAAATTCATAAACATTAAACATTCAAAGCAAACTTGCACTATATTTCACGATTCCCATAGTAAATCAATTCTTCTCATTTCATCAGCAAAAATTGCTTCAAAGCTCATTGTGTGAAACGTGATTTTCCAAATATATGCTTTTGAAAATTGAAATCTTGCTTATCCCACTCCTGGCAAACAGCCATGTTTTTGAGATCAGTGAGGAGGTCCACCCATGAACCACAGTCACGCGCTCACGGTCATTGATGAACTTTAGACATCGCTAGTGCGTTCCTTTCTCCGGGTGTAAATAGCCGGTCGGAATTAGTACCCACGCCCCGGGCTAACGCCAGGAACGGCGCTCCGCGCCGTTGGCTGGGGGGAAATTACTAGAAAATACATGCATGCAGAAACGCTCGCCTTGCTGAAAAAAACATTGTATTTTCCGAACATGCGGTATCTAAAGTAGTTGTCATGGTAACACGATAATTTTTTAAGAATATTCTTACAAATGAAAAATCGCCAAAAAATATCACTTTTAATTACAAAATTATCAATTTCCCAAACATATATATGTTAGGTATGTTATTACACGTAATATAAGCTTCAATTTAAGGAAAAATTCAACCACAAACGCTGCGCAAAACGTTTTAAAGTGTTCTTTATAAAACTAAATTGCCTTTAATTAAATGGCTTTATCGATAAACTTTGAGTTTGCAATAAAATGATTTCAAATTCTCGCATGCAAATAACTTTGCTTTCTTTTTTATTTAAAAAAAATTAATATAATGAAAAAGGGAATCAATATTAATAATACACTGAAATTATATGCTGTCTTGTTTAGTTGTTTCATATACGCAAAGGCCGTCGGGTTTTAAAGCAATTATAAAATCAATATTTAAAACAAACTTACCTTCGTTAACGTCGGCGCCTTTGCTCCCTTCTTTTAGCGGATTCTTTTGTCGTTTCTTTCTGAGAAAGCTTTTGAAATTTACAAAATCTTGCAAAAATGAGAGCAAAAATGAAATATATTTGCAAGAAATTTAGAAATCATCAAATCAAGAAATGTTTGCTATTTCGCTGTGCAGTCGTTATATTGCAAATTTTAAATTGGACCAATCAGTGTTGGCTATTCATGACAGTCCGCTATATTTTGAGATCAGTGAGGATGACCACCCATGAACGGTGACCCACGCCCGAGATCGTTGATGAACTTTAGACTTCGCTAATGCTTTCCTTTCCCCGGGGGCAAATAGCCGCGCGGAATTAGTACCCTCGCACGGCGCTTCGCGCCGTCGGCTCGGGAACAATACAAATTATAGTCAAACATTACATTACAGTTAACAACAATTACGATACATTTACAAATACAATTAACTAGTATATATAATTATTCACATATTAAATTGTTGTTAGTATAGTGTAAGATTCTTAATTAACGTAATTAATTAATTAATTAATTAATTAATTAATTAATTAATTATTTAATTAATTAATTGGCCAGGTGTCGTATACATGAATTAAATGAAGCAAGAGAAAGTTTGTTTCTTGCTTCATCTGAAAGGCTGTTCCGCAATTTTGCCCTTCCATATATAACTAAGACTTCATATTCAGTCTTAGGTTTGGGCAAAAAGCTAGTTTGGTGGAAGTGCCTCGCGTGTTATAATAGACGGTTTTAGATAACAAGACGCAGACGTGAAGAGGACGTGAGATGGCGTGTTATGGCGTAGCTTTCGCGCATTTTTTTATGGCGACGTCGTCTTTGAAGTTTTCAGGACGCGAGATTGAGATTTTCACATACTGACAAAGACATCAACTATTTTCTTCATTATTATCCATAAAAAGGTCAGTAATACGCATGCAAACTATTTAAACTTGTAGTTTTATATTATATTTGTCTTTTTTTGTAAGAATTTACTAGTTAGTATATGGCCAGGCGGTGATCGCACTACGACCGCAATGCATTATTTTGGATATTTTCTTCAAGATGGCGGATTTCGAGCACGATGAAAGGTATGTTGGCGCTCTATTTTCTGCCACGTTTTAAAGTTTAAACTTTTTGTTTTTTCTTAAATTAAAAAGGAAGTTGCATGTAATATTGTGATGCTGTGTTACTTTTCAAATCGATAATTTTTGGAATTCGATAAAAAATATCATTTGATTGTAAGCTCGTGTATTTTTCCCAAATACACTGGTCTGTTTACTTTTTCATATCACAGGTTAACCATTCACACATCACATTTAAAATTGCAATTGGCATAATCTATGATCATTATTTGTGACCATATTAAATGGCGCCCTTTGGCGCCCCTCAATATCGTATCTTTTTGGGGCATTTAAATCATGATATTTCCTTTGCTAATTTCAGGTCTTCTTGTCCAGAGTTCATGTTCTCCCGCTATTTTCGGGAAGCGTTCGTGCATCCCAGAGTCCCATACGCCAGGCAAACAAAAAACAAAGCGGCAAAGAAATAATAAACGCAAAAGAGAAGCAAAAAAACATTTTCAAATGGAAAAAATAATGTGTGTCAAAATGAGCAAGACCAATGGCAGACTGTTGGACAACCGAAGAGGCGAAGAACAGACTTTAATAATGGGACTGTTTCATATTTGACAGGATCAATGACTGTCTGGTTGTGAAAAACCATTTGTGCTTGTTGGAACTGTTTCTTGTATTATAGTCAGTTGGAGCAACTGGCAATGATTCAGTAAACTTTTCCTTGGTTAATTTTAGATGTGTTAAAATTTTTGCCATTTCCACCAAGTTACCCATACCATTTGTTTGTAGCTTTAAATAGCACCTGAAACATGACATGCATACTGTAGTCCACATTGCTGCAGAATGCCTTACTACGGATGTAAATATAACACAGATACATGTACAGGCATAATACAGATAGTGTCTCACACAAATAGTGTACAGCATTATACCCAGGCATTCACCAAGTCAATGTTGAAAATAATAGTTCTGTGTAAATTTTACCCCACCCAGGCCATCCCATTAAAAGCAGGACACCCATGTCAATAGTTGCACACAGTGTATTAATTATGTTATGGTATGAACTACTTTGCATAATTATATATTTGAACAGCCATTTTCCCAATCTGAAAAAACTTTCTCCCTATAAACACAAACTGGGCTGGCATGGATGGAAGTTCTAAGAATGCTGCTGTGAGTTATGTAGAAAAACTGTTAGAACACTGTAAACCCACTACACTTGTGCTGTTTATAAAGCATATACAATCACAATAAATTTGTTATTCATATATTTTATAACACTTCATTGAACAATGTTTTACTAAGTTTATACATGACCACCATCATCATTGAAATACAAACAAAAACAACCCATTTTAATTATTGTTATACATGCTGTACCTTTTCACACTGATATAGAGCATTTGCACATGATGTCACAGCCACCATGTTGGTGTTCCAATTCAAAATAATTTTAATTAGACTCTTGTCTGGAACACCAACATGGCCGCCATGGCTTTTGTTGAGTTGGCCCGTGGGGAATAAGTGCAAACGCTCTATACAACAAGGTCTGAATCTTCAGACACTGCAAAACCGCAGCCTCAAATCAAAGCGCCTGAGGACGAGGAGCCCTGGCAAAACCAGCATATCCATTATTCACAATAAATGCAATTTGTGCATCTGCTTCATATGGTGCCATTATGTACTGAATTGAATATCTTTTTCACAGCAAAGCTGAAAGGTGGATAATAACAAATTGTTATTTACTGCACACAACTAGTTTCCAATTTACTCTCCATAATTTTTTATGCATTTGTACATAAAAGGGGTGTCATTTAAAAACAGGAATTTGAATTTTGCAAAACAAATTGATCAAACGTCTGATTAGCAAGGCATTGGCATGGATTATAAATTGTTGTGACATTCCCGTGCACCAATAAAATGTAAATTCTGGGGAGGAGCATAGGCAAGGTGTAAGGATTTGGAATTTTTTAAATTTTTTTTGGTAAATTCTAGTGAGTGGAAGGCTAGAACAAAGTTCTTGAAAACTAGATAGTATGTGGTTCAATTTAAACCATATCATTTTTCTTACTCTCCATATATTGTTATGCAAGGTGTTTTTCTGCCAGCTGCAAATTGCCATTGCAATGATTTTTTATTACTTAGGCGCTACTGTATTTATATGATCTTGGATACTAGAGACACCCAATCCCCACCTGAGACAACTTTACTGCACATTTAATCTCTTCCTATGAGAATGGCTCTAAGTACGAGATTGTGACTCCATGGAAGCCGAGACAAACATGCAAACACATGGACAAAAGTTGTCCCTCCTACAAGGGTAACCCTGTTTTCTAAACAGGGTGTCCCTACTGCCAGGGTGACCCTACCAGCCCAGACGAGTTGAAAACTTTCCATATAAACACTTGCGTTTAAATGTTATATAATGAATATAATTT